TCATCGAGTCAGCTTGGGATATTTGTTACCTTTTAGACCATCCAAGAAGCGACGGGTCGGAACGGAGAAAAATTCTAGTCGCCCGGGAACTGGCGCGCTACAAGATGGCCATCGCTGCTCTATATGAAATTCGATTTTCCAAGCAGGGGTCGGCTGAAGGAAGTGTGTGCCGGCTACACCTTCTCCATGAGCGGCCGCCCAAAGGCAAAGCGACGCGACGATGGTGTCGCCTTCGTTATCCGAAACGGCATTGTGGGACAACTAGCCTGTTTGTCGCAGTGCATCAACGACCGACTGCCTCTTCGGGGACCCACATTCGGCATGACCCTCAGCGTCTACACCCCCACCCCCAATATCGTGTTCTGATGAGGCAAAAAAGGAGATCCTACGAGGATCTGCACATCTTGGCGTCTGTGTGGAGGGCGGAAAATGCGCTTACCCTTGGCGACTTCAACGCTTCTGTCGGGATAGAACACGCCCTTTGACAGGGAGTGCTGGGTCCCCACGGTCTGGGCGGTTCTAACGAGAATGGCCTCCTTCTTCTGCGAACCTGCACGGTATACCTTCCACCGCCATTCGACGCAGCAGAAGTCCACATGAATGCACACACCCCTAAACTCCCTCCCTGGGTTCATAGGGATGGTAGCTGCTAGGCTATGCTCTCGTCCAGGGGCGGGATCGAAAGGACGTGCTGGAGATCCAGGCCATCTGTGACATTGATGACTAAACAGATAAATATTTAAATATTGGCATCCCTAAAATGAGACCCCGAAGTCAACTTCACAGACGACCCCAGAGTAAGCGACCACCAGGTAACTTAAATACCCTTTTGTTAAATGTGCCTGCTCACCGTCTCCATTTAAGCAACGAACTAACCCATCGTTGAAAAATATGCTGGACATGCTAGAAGACTGATTAGTGTAACTTTGGTAAAGGAAACCACTTGGATTGGGATCTTTGACTACGCACGTGCTGTTATCCTCAGTTATGCAAATATAGTTAGACAATGTGTCACGGTGTTGACTGGGAAGAATTGCCGGGCGAGCCCGGATTAGGAGGTCCAGGACCGGGTACAAGGACTGGATACCTGTGGTTTTTGTAGTACACCCTCAAGAGCCTCATCCTGCAGGGCGAGTGAGCGCGTACGAAAGCAAGGGTTTGAACACCAACATAATCCGCACGTGTAGATAAACGAGAAGAAGACGACTCGATCGCTGGGACAATACTTTCACTCGCCTGACGTTTTGACATCCGTCGCGGATTCATCATCAGAGACATAAGCAGAAAACTATAGCAGAAACCGGTCCATGTGAGTCCCAGGAAGTAATTGAGAAGATGACGACTCGATCGCTGGGCCAATACTTTCATTTGCCTGACGTTTCGACATCCTTCGCGGATTCATCATCAGAGACATTAGCAGAAAACGGTAGCAGAAATTTAGATAGTCTCTACAGCCTCCCCGACAGGACAGATATACGGTAGGAGGGAATTCGAATTTAGTAGCAAATATAAAAATCAGTTAATGTCGCCATTTCTCATTCTCTCTGTATAACCAATTCTGTTCACTTTGCGCAATTCCGTGCAGCGCCCTCTTTGACCTCCTTTTGACTAGAACTAAAGCCCGGCCAGCTACAGGATATTCCCAAATCAGCACTTCGACCCGTCCGACTGCAAGATTTCACCGACAGTCTGCAGACGATACGCTCCAGGGCTACATCAAGAGAAACAGCGGTCTTGCGAGAGACATTCCTCCGCAGAAACTGGCCGGTCATTGCTTTCCAAACTATTTTCTTGATCGTCCGTTCCCCAACCTCCGCCTTGTGTATTGCGTATCAAACAGTTTACTTCACACGTTTGTTTCTCTATGACCAGATTGGTTTGAAACTTGTAATCCTCCTAAGGCGTCTGCAGAACGCAGCCTATTTTGATAGGATGGATATCTATCTCTGTAAATCGTTATATACTTTCTGCATTCCATTCCATGGCTTTAGACGGGCCTGGGAGAGTGACGAGAGTGGAGTCGACGCTGGAGATTCTATCCTCAGGGCACACGATCGCATTCCCTTCTACAATAAATCCAACACTTTTGAATTAATCAGGGCGTACCAAGAATCATGGCTTGGGAGACAGCCAACTGACGGGATAACACGATCCTCCTTGGGACTGAAGGTTCGGCTCTTAATTGGTGAAACCCTTTATGTTACGCTGGCGAATGTGAAGCGGGAGTGACTCTTAAAGGAGGTCTGGTACGTATCGTGGTAATCTGATCGTGCAAAAGGGCTGGTTAGCTTATCAGCTACTGTGCGCGCGTCCACATTCATGGCGTACCCCCTATGGCTGCAGAATAAGATTATTTATTTGTTTATTTAACTGGCCGATGCTGCAGGAAGTGCCTCGTTATATTTCATGCGCAAGTCGCCGATGCTGTATGGGGCACAGGGTGGAGCCCGTCGTTCTCCGTCAGAGTCGAACTGTCGGCTGTTATACACCCAGACAGCATACATACTCAGACATATTTGGAAGGGTTAAATGGAGTAGAGCATACTCCATTTACATAAAACCAAGAAAGCGCCAGTCCAGTATGATTTGCTTGTGGATATGTTGTTAAACGTAGATCAAGTAAAGTCGGCCTATCCTATAATAGTTTGGATTCCGAGGAGTTATAATGAAAGGAATAATGGTCGTTAGAAAATGGAATTTTACTCGCCAATTTGTAAGTTATCGACACCAATCCGTCTTCAGAGGAAATGAGTAGAGGAGAAAGTGTGTTGGTTTAACTTGATTGGTTGGCTCAACAGTAGAGAGAGCGATTGACAGACGACTGGTGTGAGGATGGTGGGCACATAATTGGGATATGGTTTTGAACTTGGGCGGGGGGCGTGGCAGGGAAGAACAATTATGTTATTTGCTTGTGCACCGATCTACTCCTCAGGATGTGCTCATCCTGGGTCAATGCTTTTGCGAGTCGGATCAACCGATTGTGTTCCGCAAAGCTACTCAGGATGGGCACATCCTGAGGAATAGATCGGTGCACAAGCAAATAATATATACTCCCGATCTAAAGGAATAGATCGGTGCACAAACAAATAATATATACTCCCGATCCAACCACTAGACATTAAGCTCGATGGCTCAATGGTTAGGACGTCTGCCCCTGACCGGCGAGGCGCGA